GGACCTTAAGGTTGGAGTTCAACCTTTTTTTGTTATAGAGAAGTGTTAGTGTGGAACTGTGACGATTTTTTGATATAGTAAATCATTTCTTAGTTTTAGTATTTTCTCCTCCTATTTTATTTTTCTTCTGTGCAGCAAAATAAGGAATTTGTCTCAATTTTCAACAATGTTTTGCTACTAGTTTTCCCAACAAAAGTGCCCAATGATTTTTCCAATTCATCACTACGCTGACAAATGACCGGATTTTGTAAATTTCCAGGTGTTATTCTGTTAATATTCCTAATGAAAGTGCCCAATGTCCTTTTTTTTTTTTTTTTGACTCCGTCCCTGATACCCGTGATGGGTATTAATTCTCAAGCTGGTGTGTTTATTCCAACTCTCAGTTCTCGTGAATTCCATAAATACCATACTTCCCCACATTCACCAACATATTGCATGTCATAAATGTCCTTAGCTACGACTATATATATAGCATTCATACAACTAAATATCCAATTTATTAATTGCTTCTTGAATTGGAAATGTCTCTCTCTTTGCTGACTACAATTCTGGTAATTCTCATCCACACTCATTTGGCCATGTCCTTCACAGTAATTCTCCCGGATTCAGCCCAACTCGAAGGTCCTCAACCCGGTTCATCCATGGCCAAAAATGGAGCAAAAACCGACCCGCAGGAGCAACAAGCGGTCTATGATATCATGCGAGCCACTGGAAATAGCTGGGCCACTGATATCCCAGACGTCTGCCGCGGCCGGTGGCATGGCATTGAGTGCATGCCTGACAAAGACGATGTCTACCATGTTATTTCTCTCTCATTCGGAGCCTTGTCGGATGATACTGCATTTCCGACTTGTGACCAGACCCGGTCATCCATTTCACCTTCCATTACCAAACTCCCACACCTTCGTACCCTGTTTTTCTACCGTTGTTTCAGTTACAACCCACAACCCATTCCGTCTTTTCTGGGTCAGTTAGGATCCGATTTGCAGACCTTGGTTCTGAGGGAAAATGGGCATATAGGATCCATCCCATATGAACTCGGGAATTTGACCCGTTTAAAGGTAATGGATCTTCATAAAAACAATTTGAACGGGTCGATACCAGTTTCACTGGGCCGGATTTCCGGTCTAAAGTCGTTAGATTTGAGTAGTAATCAACTATCCGGTTCAATTCCCAATCTTACCTTTCCTGCAGTAAGCGTGTTAGACCTCAGCCAAAATCATCTGTCAGGTTCAATACCAAACACGCTCTTAAGCTGCAATTCTCTCTTAAAAATAGATTTAAGCCACAATCGTCTCTCCGGTCCTTTGCCTAATATTAACGGTCTTGAAGAACTTATTCTCGTAGATTTGAGCTACAATAGCTTTATCGGTCCATTTTCAGGTCCTCTAAACAATTTAAATTCTCTCCAATCTTTGATTCTTAAAGGTAATCCCTCAGTGTCTGCAACTATTCCAAACAATGCATTCGAAAATTTGAACAATCTAATAATCTTAGTGTTGTCGAACATGAATTTACAAGGTCAAATACCAGAGTCACTAGGTCGATTACCGAATTTACGTGTCCTACATCTCGATCGAAACCGTTTGAATGGATCCATCCCTACGAGTTTTTCAACATTGAATGGTCTTAGCGAGCTGAGGTTGAACAATAACCAATTAGTCGGATCCATCCCATTCAGTCGAGAAATGACCTGGAGAATGAGAAGGAAATTGAGGCTAAACAACAATTTAGGACTGTGTTATGATGCAAAAAGTGGGCTTGGAGATGATTTAGATGCACTGTTTGATGCAGGAATTGGCCATTGTGACAAAACAAAACCAGTACCATTGCAACATATTTCTACAGTTGATGAGGGTATAATCAGATCAAGTACAGAATCAGCTGCTTCACTTCGTAAACTTTCACTTCTCAGTCAAATAATTGAGTTGTCAGCCGTTTTTCTATTTACTTTCTGTTTATTTTGAGGAATAATTTTCTTGAACCTATAGAGAAAAGTATTATTGTAAATGAGTTGTTCGTTCAGTAGTGTATTGTATGAAGAAAAATTGACTAAAATCTTTTTCATTATATTGTACAATATTACGTATCAAACATAATGACATCCTAAACCGTCATTAGTATGTTCACTTGGGCCTAAAATGGGCTGAAATTTGGCTATAATAGCATAATTGCATGGATTGGGCAAATATAGCCTTTGTTTGAGTCACATTATTTTGAAAAAAATACATTTTTGAATAGTGTATTGATGAAAAATGTGTGGTTAAAAAATAAAGAAAATTTTTAGATTTACGTGTAATATTATTTTATTTAAAAATGTGTAGTTGAAATGATATCAAATCATTGTTTAAAAATGTATTTTTTTCAAATAATGTGGATCAAACATGGCTATAGTAAGCTTGGCCATACATGTCAATTGACACAAATAGTATTAATTAATATGAAATTTGACCACCAACTCTATATAACCATGTCCGGGACGCATCCTGATCACGACAGGGATACTGCCTTATTTTCAAGCATTCTAGGCAAGGTGTGCAGGCCTGAAAATCAGGTAGCGTCCCTGCCATGGCTAGGACGCATCCCGAACATGGCTATTTATTTATTTACGTATAAAATATTTTATTGTGAGAATGTGGTCTTAAATATGAATTTTCGAAAAGAAATTTTTTTTTGGAGAATAGTAGGCGGCTTAATTTGAGGCTCCATTACTTATTGTAATAACTTGTTAATCTTGAAAAAAAAAATGAAAAACTTCAATTTTTTACATCAAATATTTCATTTTCACTTGTTCGAATTTCGAAATCAAATGAAAGACCCACCAAAACATATATAAAGGCCCACCAACTATTTAAAATTTCAAAAAAATTCAAAATTTCCAGTCGAATTATATGGATTAGGATGAAAAGCCGATCAGCATTATGTCGAGTCACTACTTTTAATTTATAGCGTAATTGGTCCCCCTAAAAAAAAAACCTTTTAGTATGCACGTAGATTGCACATAAGAAGTGGCTATTTTGCTTTTGAGCGGGATCAAATGGTTCTAAAACTTTTCATTCAAATGAACACAATTGGTTTAGGAATAAAGTCGTTTATAAAGATGAAAATGACATAAAGCAGTATAGATGATGAGATGACAATACTCTATTGACTGATTTAAATTTGTTTTGTATCCAACATTCAACAAATATTTGTCAACCAATAATCTATCAAAAACTATAAAAGATTTATATATATATAGCATTTTTCTTAGTTCGGTATATGCTATTCAATAGCTCTTATTTTATATTTATTTCAAAGGACAATTTTATCAAACTTTAGGGAATGTTTGATTTTGAATTTTGAATTTCCCGTTTTGAAAGTTTGTTTTAAAATGGTTAAAAACACGATTGATTTGTCATTTTGAAAAACTGTTTTTCAAAACAAAAAACGAAAAGATAGATTTGATTTGAAATTTTGAAAAATTATGTTATATGTTCTATTTCATGAAATTTGAGTATTCAGTAAAGCAAAACAATTTTATGTTAAATATATTATCAATTAATATATACATTATAAAATTGGTAAATTTTACAAAAAAAAAATTCTCGCTACAAAAATAAAAATAAATTGAGTTGTGTTATAAAATTAAAGGGAAGAGAGAAAATAAGAGAAGAAATAAAGAGTTAAAACTCAATTGTGTATTATTATGAATCAATGTCCTATATTTATATGGTCCAAAATAAGAGTTACTATTGGAATAAAATAGATCTTCTAAACTATAGATAAGACTTATCCATGTATCATGATAATACTAAATAATCATCAATAATTATCTCATTATTTTACAACACTCCCCTTTGATGATTATTTGTACAATAACTGCTTCGTTAAAACCTTGTTTAATAAAAACACAATTGGAAAAAAATCAAACAAAGAAAAAAGAGTACAATTATTTTGGAGTACTAAAAATAAATGTTGTCTCATTAAAACATTGCTAGGAAAATTCAGTGAGACAAAACCTAAACTAAGGAAAAAGAGTACAGCTACTCTCCCCGATGTTGATCACTAAAAATCTTTGAGTCGACACATTCCAATCTCATGAACTAATTTCTTGAATGTAGATGTTGGCAATGTTTTTGTGAATAAATCGGTCACATTGTCACTTGAGCGAATTTGTTGAATATCGATATTGCCATTCTTTTGAAATTCATGTGTATGAAAGAATTTTGGAAAAATATATTTCGTCTATCAACAAACCAAATGTACTTTAAACGGACATAAATTAACTCAAATAGCAATTTCGAGATAGTGTGAGTACTTGAGCTCCATTACAAAAAAAAAAAAAATCCTTTTTTTTTTCCAAATTTATCTTTAACCACATTTTTCAACAAAATAAATTTATAGTAAATTTAAATTTTTTTGACCTTTTAACCATATATTCTTCATAAATAAAGAAAAACATTGTTATTAGAACATATTTTCCTAACAAACTTTGAACCTAGTGAACAAAATATTTGTAGAATGGGGCCCATGCCTCCAAATATGGGTTTGAAAATTGAAACGGAAGAACAGCGAAAGTCCGCACGAGACACCGACACATCCGCTGTCGAATCAAATACTTACGTTTCACATTTCCTAATAAAAACCTTTGTTTTCCCTTTTTGCCCTTTTTCCTCGTACTGCCCTTGATTGATTCATTATTTTTAAAATATATTTTTCATTTATTTTTTAACTATAAACTCCGTTTGGTATACATTAATATAAAAATAAAAATGAAATATATAATTGTTACGGACCCTACATAAGAGATGAAAAGTCAAATATAGTGGCTTGATGTGATGAATAATAATCATATTTTTCATTTTAATGAACAAATAATGAGAAACAAACGAGAACTATATATTCTTTAATAAGATAATATTAAATATAAATTTAATTTTTTTCTTTTATTTTTGAAGTGTGCATTTGTTGTCAGCCTACCATTCCAAAATGCTTTATACACTAAAAATGGGTCTAAACACGCTGTAATTATTATTCCCTATGTACAGCTTTAATAGTCAATCAGAGAGATTTTGTTGACCGTTATAACATTTGCTTCCATCACAAGGGTTAAGATTCTTGTAAAAGTGAGTAGTTTGAGAGAAAATTCATTAGAGAAAGCTGTTCCAGTGATGGGTTTATGATAGAAGGAAGATTTTGATGGCTGCTTTTATTATCTATTACGATTCCATCTGAAATTTTTCAGACCTAGTGTAGTGGGTTGTTCGAAAGACTATGGCTTTTTGCTCCATGTTTTGTTGTGTTAAGAATTCAGATCGGTATGTGCCTCTGTTTCTTCTTATGTTTGAAAGGGTTGGGGTTTGTGTTTTAGTACAAAGAGCGGTCGGATTTTAAGATTGGGGTGCTTAAACGAGCCACCAAGAGGGAATCAATACTCAGTAGGCCGGATCAAACTTGGGGGCTTATGTAATTTTTAAGCAAAAATAATGGTGCTTGTTTTTCATTTTCATTTTTTGAAACTATGTTTTGGAAATGTGGTTATTGGGATTTTGAATTTTGTACAGGAAAAAGCAAGGGAAAAAGGAGACAACATGGAGGATTTTTTCTCTGAAAGAACTGCAATTGGCTACCAACAATTTTAACTATGATAACAAGCTTGGGGAAGGTGCATTTGGCAGTGTTTATTGGGGTCAGCTATGGGATGGTTCCCAAGTAATTATTTCGTTGAAACTTTTAATTACTTTTTGGCTTGTTTGATAAGGTAGACTGTCCTTACCACACATGCCCAGTATGTTTATTATTAGGATAGTTTAATGATAAATGAAGCATAATGAATTAGAAACAATGACTGGTATACTAGGTGGTGGTTATTTAGTAGAGGCAGGTTAGGCGAATGAGTTCACTGATAAGGGTAAAATCCATATTATGTTGATACGAGGTTAAGTTGATTACCTTAAGTATTGATATATCTCATGTATGATTGTTGTTTGCCATAAAGCACTCATTGGTTGTATTTCACTTATTTTGGATAAGAGAACTAATATTTTTGCAAAGGAATTGCTTTGTTGCTTCGATTTCTTCTTTGGTTACATTAATTTGAGCATGTGAAACTAAAAATTGAATAGCTTGAGTCCATAGTAATCCGAGTATATTTCATTTAATTATGGTCGAGCCAATTCATATCATATTTTATTCCCAAGGGCAAGTGACACTATGATCTTGTGTATATTTTGTATGAAAACAGCTAATACTTATTCCCAATAAACTTGAAGCCATCTGTATGAATCCTTGAACAGCTCGAGTCCATAGTAATCCGAGTATATTTCATTTAATTATGGTCGAGCCAATTCATATCATATTTTATTCCCAAGGGCAAGTGACACTATGATCTTGTGTATATTTTGTATGAAAACAGCTAATACTTATTCCCAATAAACTTGAAGCCATCTGTATGAATCCTGTTTTCGCCATTGTGATCTATTCATTACTACTTCTGGGAGATCTAAAGCGACTAAATCCTTAGCAATTCAAACACGCCAGTTCAGTTTTGATCTGCCACTTTCTCGTCTAATATACTGTTGAAATCATGTCACTCTTATGTATTGCAATCTCTTTAGGTCAATGTAAAATATGACCGAACCACCTGAGCCATCATCATTCCATTAGTTTATCATCAATTGATGCCACCTCCACCTCAAATATATACTCTTTGAAGGTTAAAAATATCTGGTATACTGTGCATAAATGTAGTGAGGTTTATCAACGGATTACCTAATTGGCTTTCCTTGGTCCTCTTAGTTGCCTCTTTGTTAATGATATTTGTAGGTGAGGAATGGTGTGTTCGTTACCTCTACCTGTAAGTTATATGCTTAATCTACTATAATAAGACTTCTATGTTTGCGTTACCTTTCACGTTGACTATTTCATTGTTCCATTTGCTGGAGTGGTTTTCCCACACCCAAATACTTAAATCAAAGCCTTGTGCAGAAGTCACCCTTCTCCTAGACATTAAAAATTGTGGTCGTCTTTTAGTTCCACTCTTCAACCATGTTGTCCCTCTCCATGTATATCTTATATGCACATTTGCACTGTGTAGTTCTAAACTAAATCAAAGGTTGAATTTACCCATTAACACTTCCCCAGCCGTGTTCATATTGTTTCAAGTATTCTTAGGTGATCTAAAAAGGATGCCATCAATCCACCAGTGCATAATACTTCTACCTTGTCTCTTAGTGTCAAAATTTTTTGGGGTTTGAAACATTTTGATATTGTATTTTGCCTTCATCGAGGTTGTACAGATCCATGACTGGACAAGATGGGGCATGCATGAAATGTCCACTTGGAAAACTTGTTGGTCAACATAATATTCCTAGTTCCTTTGTGAATGGAATTATGAAGTTGGTTGCTGTCTAAAATGGCACATTTTGCCGTTATCTTCAGTCTTTCTCTCTTCTCATTTTAGCACTGTTTTTTTATGCCGTATCTAAGCAGATGTTGTTATATTGTTTCCTATCTGTGAGTAGGCTATGCTAACTCCAACTTATTACATTCTAGACATTAGATTCCTTTCTGACGCATAGTTTTGCAGATAGCCGTTAAGAGGTTAAAATCTTGGAGCAACAAAGCAGAGATGGAATTTTCCATAGAAGTCGAGGTACTGGCTCGTGTACGGCACAAGAACTTGCTAACATTACGTGGCTATTGTGCAGAAGGGCAAGAGCGTCTGATTGTGTATGATTTCATGACTAATCTGAGCTTACTTTCTCATCTTCACGGGCAACATTCTGCCGAATGCCAACTTGATTGGAATCGACGGATGAAAATTGCTGTTGGAGCTGCTGAGGGCATTGCGTGAGTACTATATGCATTTTCTCCCCTCCTCTATCCCTTTTTCTTGTTTGAACTAACATTTTGTGGTGTTCTAGCTATCTACACCACCATGCGATCCCACACATAATCCATCGAGACATTAAAGCTAGCAACGTGTTGCTAGATGGAGATTTTCAAGCCCAGGTTGCTGATTTTGGTTTTGCAAAATTTATACCTGATGGAGCCACACATGTAACCACTAAAGTTAAAGGTACTTTCGGCTATCTTGCTCCAGAATATGCAATGTTAGGAAAGGCGTCGGAGAGCTGTGATGTTTACAGCTTCGGCATTCTTTTGCTCGAGATTGCTAGTGGCAAGAAACCTCTGGAGAAGCTCAGTTCAACAATGAAGCGGGCAATTACAGATTGGGCCCTACCCCTGGCATGCAAGAAAAAATTGGATGAACTTGCAGACCCAAGGCTTGAGGGAAAGTATGTTGAAGAAGAATTGAAAAGGCTTGTCTTTGTTGGGCTAGTCTGTGCTCATAACCGACCAGAGAAGAGACCAACTATGCTGGAAGTTGTTGAATTACTTAAAGGAGACAACGAAAAGATTGCCAATCTGGAAAACGATGAATTGTTCAAGACCATTCCAGCTACAGACTCGGGTGCTGAAGACAGCCCTGAGTTCTTCTCAGAGGAAAAAGAACCAAAAGAAGAAATTGAACATGCAAAGTCCTAGCTGCATAAACTTAATAAACAGCTAGCCTTGCTTACAGAGAAGTAATTTTTCCAAGGAAATACAGGTACATGAATGCAAAATCGTAGCTGCATAAACTTAAAGGGCATTGCATCAAACATTTTCTCATATTTCTTGATTTAATCTACATATTTGAAGATTGTGTGAGCATAATAATCACAGATCTTGGGGTAGGCGTTTTCAGGTAACATGTACACACTGTAGTGACTTGGGTTGTTTATCATGAACAATTACAACGCTGCCCCCATTTTTTTTAGGCCGGATTGTTTATTTTGTGTGTGGTAATCAAAACTCTTGCTACTGCAAATGATGGATTGTTGTTTGTTCATCCCTTCTTCCTCACCCCCCCCCCCCCCCCCCCCCCCCCCCCCCCCCCCCCCCCCAACACACAACAAAAAAAACA